TGTACTGTATATAGTGTAGTTGGCATGTAGTCTAAAGATATAAATTGTATGAACTCTGATATTTTAGAAAGCATGTAATTTGGTATAACATGATAGATAGAACATGCCTGTATTGATATGTTATAAGTGCATTAATTTTTATGCCTCACTAAGTCTTCGACTTAGCGTGTGATTGTTTTCACACGTAGGTTTCGAGAAGAGTAAAGAGTAATGCGGAGCAAGACATGTCAGTTCTTACCAAATGTCAGATCAGAAATATGTACTGTATATAGTGTAGTTGGCATGTAGTCTAAAGATATAAATTGTATGAACTCTGATATATTTTGTAAACGTTTGATAAGTTAATGTTATAAAAGTTTTTAAATTACTCACTATTTTATACGAATAAATGTTTGAAAAGTCAATGTGACACTTCGGACTCGTATCCGGGTCGGGTACGGGTTGGGGGTGTTACAAGCAGCAACCTCTTCGAAACCTGGGGGCTGGTGCATAAACACTTCTTCAGATAGCTCCTCGTTCAGAAACGCGTTGTTTATATCAACTTGACGTATAGACCAATTCTTAGTGACAGTAAGGGAGAGCACTACATTCAGTGTGGTAAACTTCACGACTGGGCTGAATGTGTCTTTAAAATCGTATCCAGGAACATGCAATACCCCTTGGCAACCAACCTTGCTTTATATCTTTGAACTGACCCATTTGGGGTTCTTTTTTATCTTAAAGAGCCACTTGCAACCGACAATGTCACGCCCTCTGGGCAAATTAACAAGAGACCAAGTCTTGTCTTCATGTAACACATCCAGTTCGGCATGGATGGTTGTTTTCCATCTAGAAGATTGTAGCGTTGCACGAACAGTTGTTGGGACTAAATCATCATAAAAACTAATATATACCTTTGGCTTGATGACACCACACTTATTGCGTGTGAGCATTGGGTGCCTGTTTGCAGCAAGTTAACCATCTGCTTGCTGCTCTTGAACACGCACTGATGTAGTATGCTCATCATCCGCATTCAGCTCTTGAACATGTACTGTTGCATTAACGTTATTAGAGTCACCATGAACATGACTGTGGGACTAAGCAGTAGGGTCAGCACTGTTGTCACCTAAGCTAAACCTTGCTGTCCCTAATACTTCCTCATGCTCAGTTATTGAATCTGCTTCAACTAGGGACAGTCTGTCGCTATTGGACCTCTGTCTTACAACCAATGGAGCAGCATTACCACACCCACTGAATTTTCCTACATCTGCTACCACTTTAAGAGATCAAGGTTGTTGGCCATTTTTGCAAGCCGAGAGCCTAAGACAAGTGGTGCCTGCAAAAGGAAAATTTAATTCATTAAATATCAAATGACGTGATACATATATCCGACCATCAAGTGCGAGGCACTGAAATCCTTTGTGATTGGGACTATAACCAAGAAAAACACACGGCTGAGACCGAAACTCAAGCTTGTGTTTAAAGAATGGTCGTAAGTGGGGGAAACATTGGCAGCCAAACACCTTTAACGCCCCATAGTCTAGTTTCTTGCCAAACACCTTTTCAAAAGGTGACATCCCTTGTAACACCTTTGTAGGCAGCCTGTTAATCAAATGCACTGCCATGATAATTGCATAAGACCAAAATCGGATTGGCATGGACGCTTGAGCAAGGAGCACAAGTCCAAGCTCAATAATATGTCGATGTTTGCGTTCGACCACACTATTTTGTTTTGATGTGTGTGGGCATATTACTCTATGCATGATGCCTTTTTTGAGCAAGCAGCTCAACAAGTGTCTATATTCCCTTCCCCAGTCGCTTTGAACTGCCTTAATATGTAAGACAAATTAGTTCTTGACTAGTTGCTGGAACAGTCCAAATGCAGTGATGGATTGTGCCTTGTCCTTTAACAAATACAGCCAAGAGTGCCTAGTATAGGCATCAACAAAATTAACATAATATTTGAAGCCATTCGAAGCGACTGGTGCAGGTCCCCATAGGTCTGTAAACACAAGTTGAAAAGGTGTATCGTACACTGTTTTTGAATCATGGAAAGGCAACTTATGATTCTTTCCCATATGGTAAGCGACACACACTTTATTCATTTCATTTGAAATGTTTACATTCAAGTCTTTACAAATCTTAACTAAACTATCATGTGAGGGGTATCCCAACCGCCTGTGCCAAAGCTCATAGGAATCAAAGGATGCAGCCATGACACTTGATTCTGTAGCAACAAGGGCTGTTACTTGAGGATCAACAGCAAACAAATACAAGCCATCTTCTTCTTTCACACGAAGCAACACCGGTCTCTTCATCACGAACACAACATTCTCGTGCATGAAACTCAAAGAAGGCATTATTATCCCTAACAAGCTTTGAAACAGACAAGAGATTCTTTGTTATCTTGGGCACATGAAGCAAATCATTTAGTAATAAGGCTCGTGAAGATGAGCAAAGAGTAGAACTACCAACTGCCTTAACGCCCAATGCTACTCTATCACCAACTATCAACTTACCTGGGCTATTATAGTCATCTTTATGACTAAAACCTGCTCCATCAGGTGTGACATAGTGCGTGGCACCCGAGTCTTTCACACATTGCTCACGGACTGCTGTTGAGACAAGGGCTTGGGGGCATGAATCAACATGTGAACCATTGTTTCGAGTATGACAACACTCACACTCATTGGTATTTGTTTCACACATGGAGTAATAGGCATTTCCAGTTTGTTCCTTAGAGTAAGCCTTACTGCCAGCTGTGACTCCAGGGAAATCTTGGTCAAAACGGTGCCAACAGCTGTACAAGATGACCATTTTTACTGCAGAGTTGACACTGCATGTGTCGACCACGACCTCTGCCTCTTCCACCAGCCCGTCCACCAGAATTGACCGACTGCCAAGAGGGTTTATGATCATAGTAATAACCAGAGTTGGAAGATTTGTTCGAGCTTGTCCCTTGAGCAATATTTGCACTCATTGGGAGCATCTCAGTTTGATCACCAAACCCAACTAGTTGGGTTTTTGCATCCAATAACATAGTGTACACAACATCAAGAGATAAGGATTCTCGCGTGGTGGTTATAACGGCCACAAAGGGTTGATACTCATGAGGGAGGCACTTCAGTATGCTAGCAATATGTTCAGCTTGAGAGACAACGCTTCCACATGATTGTAGGGCATCACACACTTCTTTTACACGTGTGATATACACTTTCATCGAATCATCTCCTTTCTTGAGAGATTGCAGCTTATAATGTAAACTGATCACAACCGTTGTGGACATGTTTCCAAAGAACTGGAGGACTGTGTTCCAAACCACTGAAGCCGTTTTTGCACCCACGAACTGTGGGAGAAGCTGAAGACTAATCGTGGAGAGTAACCACGATGTGAGGGCACTGTCTTGTGCCACAAAATCCTCGTAGAATTCATTCGACACAACCTCACCATCATTGTTAACCACGGTTTCAGGCGGAGACCTTACTGTTCCCATCAAGAACCGTTCAAGGTGATGGCTGCGCACCGTTAATAGAACTTATTGCTTCCAGAGGAGGAAATTTGTTTCATTCAGGACCACATTGACCTTCTTATTGGAGAACGCCTTAGCACTTCTTGCGGAGAACTCCATGAACGGAGACGACTCACCACTGTTGAACATGGCAGGCAACAAGAACCAATTTGCAACAGAGGAGAGCTCCTACGTAGTGAGAAACAATAATATTTTCCCAGGAAAATTGGCTCTGACAACATGTTAGTAATCTGGGCTAAGCATAGAATTCAACAAACATTGAATGCGTCTTCCCATTCATTCCGGTAACTGAGTACATTGCTTTATATCAACTTAACAACAGTTTAGCCCTAGTCTAGAAGCTTTGTAACTACTCTAACTGATTACTAACAACTCTAACAAGTTCTAACTGACCTCAGCTTCTTAGTTCTAATAGCATTGCACAACCACTACATGCCAAAGCAACAAAAGGGGGGGGGATCACGAGCAATAATAGTCTTTTAACTAACGTGCCTACGAATTATGAGAACACTTTGGAGAATACAGCTTATGAAGGTTCTCGAGGTTAAAAAATAGCTGATGGTAAGTTGCAGGCTTTAGTTGCATTTATTCCCTCCATAAAGAGAAATTTTACAAAAAGAAAAAAAAATGTGTCAACCCGTAAAAATTCAAGTAAAATTATTAAGTCTTTCCCCATCAAATCTCCGAGCAACATTTGGTATTTTACTGTAGAAACCAGGAGACAGTACATATAATTTATTTTTATATAGTGTAATTGTACCTATTGAACAAGGCTTCGAATATAAGCAAAGTCAGGAAGGTGTACCTATTGAACAAGGCTTCGAATATAAGCAAAGTCAGGAAGGTCCAAATAAATACAGCATTTACGGCATTTACAGTCACAGATAGGACGTTTCACAATTGGAAAGTGGTTTGGAAGTGTACACCTGATCATTGTGCCATGCACAACTTCAAAATCGACTATAATTGAGAGTCATTTGACAATATTTTAAACTCTGATATTATTTTATTTGTCTACAATTTTATTTTTATACTTGAGTCATTCTTTAAGAGACCAAATATTTCATTTGCTTACAGCTTCCATATCTTTAAGATTTGGTTGAGGTTTGTCTCTTCTTGTTTAGTGGCACTCCAACCAGTTATTATACATAATAGTTGTTGGTTGTTTGATGATTTTCTTTCTCTATATCCAACGTATTTAGCTATACTTTTTATGTTGATGGGGCTCTTTTTCTTTTTTATTGTTTCTTTTAAACTAAAAGTTGTCTTCTGTAACGTTGTTATTTCTTTTGAAAAAGGTTTCGATTAAATAAAAGTAATCAGTTTATTTTGATCCAGGTCGGCCTTGCCCGGACCAGGCTAACAGCACAGAATGGGCAATCGGCCCATGAATATTATTGGTCAGAGTCAATTCATATTTGGAACGAATGGTTCGGGTTATGCTATTCGGGTGTCGATGTAATTATTCTAAAACCTGCTGTGCCTTCCAAGTTGCCTCTGCCTTCTTCCGGTTCCTTTGTAAATCTACTTTCATTAGAAGACGCTTCACAAAACTCATCTGATTGACTCACCAACTGATTCTATCACCGAGACCGAGGTCCCGTTTCTTTACTCACATTCTCTCTTTTGTTCCAGTGGGGTTTTCTTTCAGCTTGATCTTTCGGAATTGTACGTTTGATTTTGTGTTTTTCTTTCAAGGATTCCTGGGTTCTTCTTGTTTCCCAGTGTTTTCAAATTATTCAAATTGTTCAAGATTGTATAATAAACATGAATGGAACCCCGTTGAAGTAGAAGTAAATGAACAATGTTCTCTTTAGCTTCAATTCTGTTGAAATTATGGTTTTTCATTGAATATCGGAAGTTATTATTTAAGCGAAACAGGCCCCTCTAATTTTATTTGTTTCATAATCTTCATTGTTGAGGACTCGTTTTCTATGTTACTGGGATTCAGTAACCAGTGTATATGCTCAATTTTGTATAAGTTGTTTCATATAATTCAAGGATCATATTCATATTCCATGCTCATTTCTGAATATGTGTTACACATAGGTACTTTGGAGAAAATGAAGAATTTGGGTAACATAAATCATTCTATTTTATGTAGAAAGTGAAAATGAGCTTTGTTTTGTAGGCAATCGTTGTTGCGAGAATGGCTTTCAGGCTGGTTACTAGGAATCTCAGGAACAGAATTTCGTTCAAGCTACGTTCTGCTTCTTTGTTACATTCACACGCCACGAGTTTTGGTATTTTGCTGCTTCTTTCTTTCTCTACATGAAAAAATTATTCTTGCTTATTGATTCTATTTTGCCCATCAGTTTATTTCAGAAGCTTAGAACATCTTTATGCTTGTTTTTTATGTCTGCATCCATGCCTTAGTTTTTCTTCCGACAGACCTTATGCTGTTCTGTAACTTCTGTTTGAGCCATGAAATTTGAAAATATGAATTACTGTTGGCAACTTCACTTTAGTTGGAAATATGACACTATATTTTGTAGCACACAAATTGTAAAACAGATGGCTGATGGATGGTTAATAGGATACCCAAAGATGGAACCATGAAAATTTGGGTTTAGGAAGTCGTTATTTCTTATAATGAAAAGACAAACTATGCATTTTTCGTATTCATAAACTACAGGGCACAGGCATATGATATGATTTTCTTTTCTCTGAATGCTCAAATACTTCACCCTATTCATGTATCAGAATTCCTACAATTTTACCTGTTTCACAATCATTGGCTTCTATGGAATGAAGGTTTGCAGTGTCAAAATTTCAGGGTTTAAAGAAGTACGAGAAGAAGATAAAAGCCAAATGGTTGGCAAAGTCTTTAGCAATGTTGCTTCAAACTACGATCTCATGAATGACTTTATGAGTGCTGGACTACATAGACTGTGGAAGGATAGGTTAGATTTTCTACGGATCTTTCTACTTCTTATTTCATTTTTATCATCTGCTTTGCTTTCTCTTATCATCTTTGTGTGTGCTATCCAATTTATCAGACTGGTCTCCAAACTGAGCCCATTTCCAGGAATGAAACATCTTGATGTAGCTGGTGGAACAGGTAGGTTTTCTTTGTTAAACATAGCATATGCACATTTTTTGTAGTGGAGAAAGCATAAACACTGTCAAATAGTAAATTTGGTGAGTTAACTTGACAGATATAAGAACTGCAAATGTGAAACAATGAGTTACACTAGCTGGTATGGTACTAATGGTTGGGTGATTAATTTGGCCTATGTGAGTACATTGAATAACACCCATAATGGGATGTGAGTTCGAAGTTAATTAATGTGAATTTGAGCTCCTTTAGAAGATATTTATCTGTCATTTTCTATAGTAAAATCGAATGAGGCAAGTTTGGGAGTGCTGTTATGCTTCATCCTATTTTCATGATCTACAATGAACATGTATTCCTTAGGTTAAAATTGCTGAATTTGCAGGTGATGTTGCTTTCAGGATTCTGGAAAGTATTAACAGCATCAGGCACAGAGCATTACAAGATACAATCAACGACGACTTACGGGAAGAAACTCGGATATATGTGTGTGACATCAACCAAAACATGTTAAATGTTGGAAAAAATCGTGCCCTAGAGAGAGGTAAATAGAAGAATAACCTTGTTGTCGAAGGGATTATTTGTATCTCCTAAAGGAGAAGAATTATTTGGCAGGGAAATTTGAATTTCACCCCAACACTAAAATCCTTTTCTTTATATATATATATATATTCCGTTTCCCTGCGCTTTTAGGTCTTGGAGAAGACAAATCCCTTGTATGGGTGCAAGGAGATGCAGAAACCCTGAGTTTTGAAGATAATTCAATGGATGGTTACTCCATTGCGTTTGGAATTAGAAATGTCACCCACATAGAGAAAGCTCTTACTGAAGCTTATAGGTAAGCTTTCAACTTTTGACCTCCTTTTATCTATAATATATTTTAATTCCTCAAAGAAACCAAGCCTGTGTAGAGAAATTAGAGAGTTTAGAAAAGGGTATTTGCTTTTCTGTGACCAACAGTAATCTTGAGTTTAGTTACTGCTATGAATTAGTGATTAAGGAATTCAGAACCTTTTCACCTTTTAAGCTGTAAATTCTGCAACTTTTGGTTAAACTGTAGAATATCCACTTAGCTTTATAGCCTATATTCAAAGTAGTAATTATTGGACTATGTTCAGCGATAGACTTTCTCTCTTCCCGGTTTGTGTTATAACATATATAATGCTATTGCTTATCTCTCTCTCTTTCTCAGGGTTTTGAAACGGGGAGGAAGATTCCTTTGTCTTGAACTGAGCCATGTTGAAATTCCTGTATTTAAGGAATTGTGAGTATCCTTCACACTTTTCATAATTGGATATGGTTCATATTTTAATGTATATACGATAAAAGCAAGTGGCCTAAGGACTAGTTATTTGTATTGGCAGATTTGTCCACTCCGTATGGACTGCATATTGGAGGAATAGTGTTTAAGATTCTTGCATTATCTTCTTCAGCAAATTAACATTTCCCCAACTATTTGCTGTCTATTTCTACTGAGAAATCCATCCCTAGTTTCAAATATTTTGTATAATTACCATCTTCTAATCTTGTCGATTTTTACTGAAGTGGTCAATTTTTCCCTTTCTTTTAACCGCTTAAGTGGTAACGCAGGACTACAAATACGCTTCTCTGTGAATTTTGTCTAGCTGCTGCCTGTCAGTTTGAAATTTAGATGTGATCTCTGTTTGTTTTTTACACACAAATGTCTGACAAACTTGAGATTTTGAGAACTTTATATCGAGTTGTAATAGATAAGTACCGATCTTGTTCGGTTTCAAAAATTAATGTGAGAAAACACAGCTAGTCTTAGTGGATCTTCAGCCTTATTCTATGATATTTTTTTGCCCTTCATGCAGGTATGAAAACACAGCTAGTCTTAGTGGATCTTCAGCCTTATTCTATGATATTTTTTTGCCCTTCATGCAGGTATGATCTTTATTCTTTCTCTGTCATCCCGCGACTTGGAGAGGCTGTTGCAGGTGATAGAGAATCCTATCAGTATCTAGTCGAAAGCATCCGCCGTTTTCCACCGCAGGTCATAACTCAATCCTCCATACATTCTTATCACTTTAATATGTAATTATTTAAACCTTATTTTTGGAAAATAAGTTATTCCAAGAAGGTTGTTATTCTTCCTTTTTAGCCATAATATGGGTTCATTGAACCAAAGTGTTTTCGTTGTGTACTCGCTTCTAGGAAGCACACTGGTGTATATGAAATGTGAAATTCTGGGATTTTCATTTTAAGTGAATTACTCGAGTTTTTTCTAGTGTTATTCTTTTCTTTAATGCAGGAAAGGTTTGCTTCAATGATTGTGGATGCTGGATTTCATAAAGTCGAGTACGAAAATCTTGTTGGGGGCGTGGTTGCCATTCACTCCGGTCTAAAAATTTAACTGTCTATCAGGCAATTCTTTGTCCGACTTTCTCGAAAACCGATTATTATCCGAATTTTGCAACAACCGGTACCGTAAGCTTGCTTCTATTTGGTTTAGATGAATGCCATTGTGACAAGGATCGAAGTTCAAGCATGTTCATCTGTTATGCATTCTCTGCATTTTTTATATTTCTATTAACGCGAGAGAGTTCTCTGCATTTGTATATTGGTGTGAAATAAATACACTTTGAAGTTTACTCTATTGGAAGCGAACTTTGAAGATTAGAGCTTTTATGTTAAAAAAATATTTGATCAAATTTAGGGTAAGTACACCAACTATACTTAAATGATCGTTTTGGTCACTAATTTTTTTAAATTATACGATAATCATTAAATTTATAAAATATTTATTATTCTTTTGAATTTTAGAATCATTATAATATTATAGTGATTATTTTTATAATAATTTAATAAATTTACAAATTATTTTATAATTTTTTAAAGGTTATTAATCAAAATATCATTGATCTACCGCCAAAAACAATATTTTTGTACCACCAAGATTAATTAAATTGATATTAAGTTGTATGCAAATATAAATGAATTTAGTGTTGAATTTGATTTATATAATAACAAATATCTTTAAAATAAGATAAAATAACTTCAGTGACCAAAAATGCCTTATAATATACGATTTTAACCAACTTTTTTTGGATTTGCCAAAATGACCAACTAAATCGCAATGCGATCGATAATTCGCAACGCGATCTCCAGTATCGCAAATCAGTTTCCATATTCACAACGCGAACTTCGACTATCGCAATGCGAACTTGGACTATCGCAATGCGATTTACATATTCGCATTGCGATAGTCCAAGTTCGCGTTGCGATTTTCCAAATTCGTTGCGATTTTCCGAAACGAAACGAGACGAGACGAGACGGACGGCGGCGACTGCGGCGACGGCGCGCGAGAGTCCCCCTTGTTTTCTATCACTCAACAAGGAAGTGGGAAAGCCAAGCATTAAATACCATTCCCAATAGTGTTTCCAATACTATGTGGGATTGAGCATTACCAACACTTGTTTCTAATACAATGTGATTATTCAGAAAACAATTAACAATCATGCACCTTAAAACAACTGAATCATCAGCAACCAATTGTATTAGTTATACGATTAAATATGTCATAATTAAAAGTCAATCTATAATCAATCGCGATTATTGCAATTTTAAGCAAAACATTCAAAAACAATATCACTATTTAAGGCTCAATCCCACATAGTATTGGGAACAAGTGTTGGTAATGCTCAATCTCACATAGTATTGGAAACACTATTGGGAATGATATTTAAGGCTTGGTTTTCCCACTTCCTTGTTGAGTGATAGAGAACAAGGGAGATTCTCGCGCGCCGCCGCCGCCGCCGTCCGTCTCGGGTCGGGTCGTGTCGTGGTCGTGGTAATACGTGTATTGGACACGTCCGAGCGAATACTATCTTTTTAGAGAAAATTCTTAAGAAACAAATGCAATACCACTAGTCGTTGCGATTTTAGACTATCGCAACGAATTTGGAATAAATCGCAACGCGAACTTCGACTATCGCAATGAACTTGGACTATCGCAATGCGAATATGTAAATCGCAATGCGATAGTCGAAGTTCGCGTTGCGAATCTGGAAAGTGATTTGCGATACAGGAGATCGCGTTGCGAATTACCGATCGCATTACGATTTAATTGGTCATTTTGGCAAATCCAAAAAAAGTTGGTTAAAATCGTATATTATAAGGCATTTTTAGTCACTGAAATTATTTTCGGTTAAAATAATGTAACACTCAAACCCAAGTTAGCTGTAAATTAGATCAAGTACACCACATAGACTGATTAAAATTTAGTTGAAATTGAATCAAAATAAAATCCAATCATAAAAAAATTAAACAATAATAAGGCCATCAAAATTAGACTTCCATTTTATGTTTTTGATTTTCTTTTAAACCCCGATGTTTAATGTGTGTTAACTTAATCATTGAAGGGTCTCCACGGAAGCTGCTCTCAACCTGGCGTTGGGGGCAGCCTACTACTCTACCTCCCCCTTATCTCATTACGTATGAGAATAGGGTTTTCTTGTTGTTGTTGTAACTTAGTCATTGAAGGAATATTTCGAATTCTCTCTGTTTCGAAACTTCTAAACTTTCTGAATTATAAATAATATATATAGGGATATTATTCTTTTACGTGTCGTAAAATTCTTTAAATTTTACACAGATTTATGATCGTTAGATGAGTGAAAATAGATGACTGAGATTAACAGTAGGAAAAATGAGTATTCATAGGGGGAAAAAGACGGAATTAATCTCAACTATTTTTTTTCACTCATCTAACGGTCTTAAATTTATGTAAAACTAAAAGAATTTTACATTGTCTAAGTGAATTATAACCCATATATACGTATCAAAATATTTATAAATAATTTATCGAACATAATATTTATTTTATTTTATTTTATTCATTGCAAGCGGTGGGTCCGATAAGCATGGATTCTAACAGTTATAATAGCACATACATATATTTGAACTAGGTATCCCAACCATCCTGGTGCAAACGCCATGGCCATCAAGAAGCCCTCCATATTGGTATGCACACTGCTGGTTGCAACACGCATCATTGCACTTCTCACTGCATGGTCCAATTGCCACATGGCATTCTGCACCGCTCACTTCCCCTGTTTTTTTTTACAAAGCAAAAGTAAAATTTTATAAATATAAATAAATAATTAAAATTAAAATTTAATATGTTTTTTTACCTAATGTTAAAAAATTCAACTCATCAAACGACTTTCGTAGTAAATAGAGTATTTTTTTCTCAAAAAATTTCGAGTTTGAGTAGCTACATCTACAGAGTCTGTGCGAGTTACCTCAAACTATTAAAAAATTATGTTAATATTTTACTAAATAATCACTTTAATCCTTATTTTTAGAACACTTTGGAGCAAAAAGATCTTTTTATGGATAGAAACCGTTTGTCACCAAACAATTAGTACTCTAAAATAAGGACATATTTTTTTAAATGAAACGTTAAGGGTCAAAATGTTTTAAAAAATGAAGATAAAATTAATTATTTAGTCAAACATTAGGGACTTTTCTACCCTAATATAAAATGTTAGGGATTAAAATACTTCAAAAAAATATGAATCAAAATAATTACTTAATCAAACATCAAATATATTTGTTACCTAACTTTTTTTTACTTGTAAAGATTTATTTATTTGAATTTTTTGATGAATTGATAAAAATTTCAAATAATTATTATAAACGTTTCAATAATTTTTTTTATCTGATCAAAACATAAACTTAAAATATCAAAAAATTCAATAAAATTAAAAAAAAATACAATAACTAAGCCGATAAATTAAGGAATCAGAAAATTCAATATGTCATTATGATTAGGATTTAATACATAGTCATTGGTTTTAAGAGATTAAATCTTAAAAATCTTATATATACATTACGTTCTTAGAACTAGTATAGCAAATAAAATTCAAATTTAAATTTTTTGATTTCGAAACATATTTTTTTTATTAGTTTGGGATAAATACAAGAAAATATTTGTTCAAAGACTCATACCCCCTACATACATAGTACTCGAAGCAGGAATATCAAAGAATAACAATAATTTCTTAACCACCGAGGTCGTTTGATTCGTATCGATTTCAAAATATTATATAAACAAAGATGCCTAATTTTAGGGAAATAATAGTACCTGAGGTGAATAGGAGAAGGATGGCAAGAATGTAAAATACTTGGATGAATTTCATCATTTTCCCACTAGAAATTTCAATTCCTTTTGCTTTTCCTTTTGTTTGTTTCCAAAAAGTTTGGTTTTATAAGCAAAAAAGAATTGTGGTATTAAATAAAAACGTTTATATTTTCTGGAATTTAGTAGTACATACTAAAACTACTCTATTGTTGTATTTTATCGACACTTCTCTCTGTCCACATATATATTAATTGTATATATTATCATTACTCAAAAGGAAAATGTCTCAAAATAGTATATAATTTTACATTTAAAATGAAAGTATTTTTTTTGGAAATAATTTGTATGTATATGGTAACTTATTTGAAATTAAAAATAAAATTGTATCAGTTAAATCATAGCAATACAAGTAGTATCTGTTCAAATACTCTCAAACCTGTGACAATGAACACTCATATCTTTGAGTGTGTGGTGTTTGAACACGTGACCTCAAAGGATAACAATAATTTTTTTAATCACTGAGGTCGTCGATTGGTTCGTGCCGCTAAACCTATTAAATGGAATTTATTGAGTGAACTCAATAATAAAAGAGAATGTTGTTCTCGCTAGAGAGTCCTAGTTAAGCGAATATGTATGGTGTATATTGTCAATTGACTAAGAAAATTCTGAACAAATACTCTCTTTTTATCATCCCAGACTAAATAAACCTATTAAATGAGCTTTAAATGATTCATAAATATTCATAAATGAATTTAATGTTTGGATTTGATTAAATCCAAAAAAAAACCTAAAATTGAGTAGTATTCGGTGTAGTTCACCCTTCATTAAAAATAGCGAATCCAACAACAAATGCTAGATATGCTTTGTTTTTTTTAAACAATTATAATAGCAAAGGCATTGTGAACCAGGTACACCACCAATATCCACGCAAATGCCATTCCCATCCATTGAGGAGGGGGGCGGGGGCGTATTCAGCGGCACAGTTTTGGTCACAACAAACATCATTGCACTCCTCCCCGCATGCTCCGATTCCCATGTTGCATATTTTCGTTTTCCGGCGATGAATTCCCGATCCCATTGTCGCCACTGCCACCACCGCATTCATACAAGCATTTGCATGTCTCCACTTCACTTGGGTGACGATTTCTTGCATATTCCTTTCCCGTTCTTTGAAGTTTCAATTCTCGTTACAGATCCCCATTTCTTCTTCGCATCGTGCACCACTCACTTTGGCTGTATTTTACAAAGCAAAACTAAGATTTCATTTTGCTAATTTAGAAATCTGGGTTTTAAAAAGTAGTGTAAATTGTACCTGAGGTGAATAGGAGAAGGAAGACAAGAATGTAAAATACTTTGATGAAATTAGCCATTTTTTTAGAATTTTCTAATCTCTTTTCTTAATTTTGTTTGGTTTTCAACAAGTTCGGTAGATCTTTTTTATATGTAAAAAATAATTGTGGTCCTAAATAAACA